CTTTGTCTCATAATGGGGTTACAGTACGAGCCTGCCACCTAGGTCATTTTTTGCAGGTCTAGGCTGTGACCAGGCCTACGGGTGAGCTTCGACGCTAGGAACTACAGCACACGTAGGAAGCTCTAGCTCACGCTCCATATGCCGCTGTTGTTGTCCACCTCAGCCCTCAGCCAGTCCTCCGAAGCTGACCCGGATGACTTGGCATGTGATCTTCCTGACGTACTGTAGCCACAACACCAGAAAGCGGCTTGAACTTCACCTATCACAGCATCACGATTCGATTTTCGCAGCGCAGGGTTGCACGAAAATGATCACCGCTCAGCACCTTACAGGCAGCGGGGCAAGGGAGTCCGATGCTGCTTTTGTTGCTCCATTGGTTCAGTTTTGCTTCGTTGAGCTGCTCTGCTCTGCTTCTTCTTCCCAGTCGTTCACGTGACTTGAAACACGACATCAGGACGCGTCACCTCCCTCAATCGATCGTGCAAAATCGAGGAAGATCGATCGTCCACCACACTAAACTCTCGCGTGTTGCATTTAAGTTTGTTTGAATTTTTTTTGAACCGAATCAAAAATCGATCCTGTGCAGGATCAATCGAGGCAGGTGACGCGTCCTCATTTGACTTCGATGAGGCAGTCTTGCTTCCGCACAGTTCGCGAGGCAGGTGCAACTCAATCACACCGACAGGCAAATGCTTCTTCCGAGACACACTACTGAAGAGAGCTCGACTGAACCTACTGAGGGAGACACTACTGCCAGTGAACGTGAAGAGAGCTCGACGGCCGGCTCGGCTTGGAGACCGAGCTGTTCTTGGGAAGTGCACTTGCTCGTGTCTTATATTTATCTGGTGCGCTCGTAGTTTGGCAAGTTTTTCTTGAAGACACCGCCATGTGCGAAGTTCTTCTAACAATCCCGTCCACTTGCGTTTCGCACCTTTCGCCACAGGGTAACGTCTCCATCGCAAAGATGTCGTCTCCCACTAGTGGTAGTAACCAGAACAGTATTCCCGCCCTTTTTCTCCTATCTCTCCTCCTCATCGCTCCACCTACAACTCACTTCACTAGCCCACGCGGCAATGGCCTCCCCAGCAGCCCCCCTTATCTCTGCGAAGCCGTCAAGATGTACAAACCCGATCAATCCATACTCCTCTTCCTGAAATCCCGCTGGCCCGGCTTTCAATACGCCAACTCCTGGATAGCAGGCACGGACTGCTCCACATGGGAAGGAGTCACTTGCGACTCGAGGTCCGGCGCCGTCACGGGCCTCCAGCTGATGAGCGCGTCGATCAAAGGCGCCATCCCGCCCGCGATCGGGAATCTAACGGCCCTCACGAGTCTGGTCTTCTGGGGCAACTCGCTTACGGGGCAACTCCCGCCGTCTATAGGCCTGCTGAGCCGCCTGCAGGAGCTGAGCATTATCGACAACGAACCCGGCATGCGCGGGAGCATTCCGGCCGCGCTCTCTCGTTTGACGAACCTCGTTCATTTGGACCTGTCAGGCAATGGCTTCTCGGGTTCCATCCCCCGGTTTTTCCTCAACGGGGCGATGAAGAAATTAAAAGGCTTGATCCTCTCGAGGAATCGCCTCACGGGAAGCATTCCCGGGGGAACGATTGGCGGCCTTTCCGTTCTGAACGCTTTCGATGTTGGCGACAACGGCCTGACCGGTAGCATTCCGACGGGGATCGGCGAACTGAGGGCGCTAAAGTACCTGACGATTGAGAATAACCTGTTGGAAGGGGCGATTCCGTCAAGTCTGACGGCGTGTACCGATCTAGTGATACTGGAGGCTGGGACTAACCGTTTGGGGGGTCCCCTTCCCGTGAGCACTCTTCTGCAACTCCCGAATCTGGAAAGTCTTTCGCTCAAGCGTAACGGGTTCATCGTTACTTCGCTAGCGCCTCTCGCGAACCACCCGAATCTGAGAGACATCGACCTAAGTCAAAACACAGTCGCTCGACGAATCCTTGCGACCCTCGGGCAGATGAAAAATATTAAAAGACTGAGTCTGGCGGGAAACAGGCTGACGGGATCGGTTCTCGCGTTTCTTCTAGCCAATCAGCCGAAGCTGTTTAATCTCGACCTATCTTTCAACAGGCTTTCAGGGAGCTTTCCGTGGACTGCGGTGCGAGGCACGCCGTACTTAGTGGGGCTGGACATCCAGAACAACATGCTTTCGGGCAGAATTCCCGATAATTCGTTCACGGGGCTCCGCATGTCCTCTTTGAACATCTCGAATAACTTCTTCGCGGGCAGATTGCCCGATTTCAATTCGCCAATACGGGAGTTCGAACTCGACGCGCGTGGGAATTTCTTCTCGGGCAGACCGGAGATACGGGTATGGGGAAAACAAGTCTGCCCGGTCGAAGGGCAGACGCAACCTGACGGCGAACTGAGCTATTTCACAGTAGCTCGTAACTGCCTTTCGCCGGTGCCTTATTGCAACGTTAGACCATCGCAACGCAGGCCTGCTTCGTGCGCGGCTTTCTGCGGTGCGAATGGCAAACTCGGAGCGTGTGGGGGGCATGGCACGTGTCGGCCTACATTAGTGGTTGGGAAGGTTCGGTGGCGGTTTTCGTGCGTGTGCGACAAGGGTTACGCTTTGAAGCCGGGGAATCGGTTCTTGTGTGTGCCAACAGCAGCAGCGGCGCTCACGGACAAGCGCAGGGGAGGAGGTGACAATGAAAGGTCGTCGATTTTCACAGGCTTTTGACACCCCGTTCTGCTTTGCTGGAGGAGACATTGCTGGAGGAGACATGGCTGGATCCAATGGCTACGAGGAGAAATATCTTGTTAGGGGGTTCGGGTTTATACATGTTGGAGCTTGTTTGCTAGCCGAGATAGCGAAGGTGGAACCTAGTACGGGAAGGGAATACCACATGGTTGTGGGACCGGTTCCGTAGGCTGCGAAGTATAACCATCATACTGCTATTTATGTGAAATACCTAGTGCAGTGTGCCTTTGCTCATATCGGAAACAGCTGTGTCGAATTTTCGGTTCATATGCGATTGCCACCTCTTTCTGCCTACCTGTATGCTACCTTATCTGCCTCGCACTGACAACCCAGAGCGCGCTAATGACATGGGGGACAACTGTGGGCCACCTGCATGTGCGGCTAACCCCCTGCTAACGTCAGCAGCTGGGTCACCGTCGTCACCTGTCCGTACAGAATCACCTCAGCTTAACGAGTCGCACTCGCTCCTACTTCGCTGGCAGCTGTTAACCTGCGTCTGGAACATCGATTAGCGCGTCACCGCTGCGCGCTTTTGTCATAGATCAGCGCCGAAGCACCCATGCGTTTCCTTGATCCACCCCAGGCGTTTTGTGCCCTTGTTTTGTGGCTTCGCCGAAACGAGATTCGAGTCGCGTTACAGAAACAAGCGCCAAGGTGGCCGAATCTGAACTGAAGGGACAAGCTGGACCCGCTGCGATTGGATGTCATCATCAACACCCTGTTACGCTTCTGACAGGTGAGTGTAGTTGGAAGTTTATTTCTAAAATTCTCATCCAGGCTCGACTTTCCGTGCCACGTGTCTTGAGCTCGTTAAGTCTAATCCAATCTAGGTTTGAAATATGATCGAGAAGAGGCCTAACTGAAGCATGATTAGAATGGTTTTGCCTGGCGAGGGAGAGATTCACAGGAGGCAATACGAGCCGAAAACGATTCGGCGGAGGAAGATCAAGAGAAGGTGAGCTGTGCGTGTGTGCTGGGGGTTGTGTTTTCAAAAGTTGTCGTACCAGCGCGCCGAGCCGTGATTGATTGATTTGTGAGAGGCGCTTTCGCTGGTAGAGGAGGACGTGTCTCGAGCTACGTGTAAGCTCAGAGGCTCTCTACCGTCGCCACCATTTCCTTACCCGCAGTTTTGTTGCCTAGCGAGAGAGATTGGCACCAGCTTTTCCTCTCCTCGTGCCTGAAGTTTGCACTATTCTCAGGCTGGAAACTCTACGATAGGCCGTCATTAGTCGTTACTAAGTCTGGATCATAAGCTGGCTTCACGTTGTCCCGCTTGCCTTAGGCTGACAGTGAATGCCAAGAGATTTTATTTTTCGAGCTGGACGTAGTGTTGTACGGACCAAGAGAGTATGCAATCGAAGATTTAGCACGGACAGAACACGAATACAACAGTTAAGGGAACAGCTAGTAGTGGGTACAGCAGCAGATGGAGAGGGGTCAATCAGAGAACAGTAGACTCGTGGGTGGAGGGGCTGACGTCAGCAGCAAGGTTGACGTTGACGTTAGTGGAAGTGCTGCAAGTCCGTATAACTGCGTAGAGTCTGTAACATCAGCAGGTGGTGATGGTGACGTCAGGGGATCTTCAGGAGGTGGCAAAGCAGGAAATCTGAACCGTCCTTTGAAGGCTGGGACGAAGAAGCGAGTACCCCTGATTGGTCTAGCCAAGGTGCTGCTTAGAACCCTAATTCAAATATCAAAATATAATCAAAGTTGGGTGATTTTGAGCATGCCTTAAAGAGTCACTTGGCGGGAGGACGTTCCTCTGTTATAAGAACGAGCCAATTGCTCTGTGGCTGTTGCTCTTGCAGCTATCTCCCACGGGTGTCGCTACCACTTCACCGCCCTACCCACCACCCTGGGTGCTCGCCTGCTCGTGGAGCTTCCTTCAAGAAGAAACCACCTTGTTTAACTTGCTCCTTTTGATGAATAGTATGCCTTTATTTTGCAAACTCGTAAACCCAGTGTAGGTTTATGGCGGTTCTGTGGGGTCATTGCCCCTTATTGCCACTCTGTATCCAACTTTTCCAGCCTCACACGTAGTGAGTTAATTCCACAATGAGTTTCTGCTCCTCTTTTTTCTTCTGCTGGATGTCCGAAGTACAGTTTAAGTTTTTTTGCAGCATCTTTACTGTTTTGCTGCTCACGTTTCCCTGGTTTGCGCCAACTCGGTGTTCCTCATGTTTGGGCCCCCAGACCCCCAACACCTCATCTTTCGTCCTCCAATCACAAACCGCCAGTTGGCATCAGTTGCGCCAGGGTTGCAGTTCGGATGGGCGCTGCAGCTGTTTCTGCTCGCGCCTTATGTGCAGCAGCTCTGTCCCACAACCTTTTATTTTTCCATCCTTCTCCAATCACAAATTGCCAGGTGGCATCTGTTGCAGCAGGGCTGCAGTTCGGCTGCGCTTTACAGCTCTCTCTGCTCACGCCGTATGCGCAGCAGCTCGGTATTCCCCATGCCTGGGCCTCCCACAACCTTTTGTTTTATCAACACCCTATCTCCCATCCTCCTCCAATTACAAATGGCCAGGTGGCGTCAGTTGCAGCAGGTTTGCAATTCGGATGGGCGCTGCAGCTGTCTCTGCTCACGCCTTACGTGCAGCAGCTCGGCATTCCCCATGCCTGGGCCTCCTACATCTGGCTCTGTGGGCCCTTGTCTGGCCTGCTAGTGCAGGTATTTACTGGTGCAGGTAGTAACTTTAGAAGGGGAAGAGCAGAGGGTGTAAATCTGTGTTTAATGTGCAGCAGCTCGGCACTCCCCATGCCTGGGCCTCCTACATCTGGCTGTGGGCCTCTGTCTGGCCTGCAAGTGCAGGTATTCAAGGGGGCTGGGGGTTGGGAGAGTGGGGGGAGAGAAGGGGAGGGGGGAAAGGAGAGGAGGTGATGTGCCTTATGTGCAGCAGCTCAGTAATCCCCTATGCCTGGCCCTCCTACATCTGGCGCCTCCATGTTAAGTGTTCCTCCTTAGCTGGAGCAGAGTGATAGCGGTGTTTAGACTCACAATAACCACTGATTTCTGTCAAGCTAAATCTTCCTTGTTTGATTCACTTTCTACCCTTTTGTCCTGTCTCCCTTCCTTTTCCTTTTCCTCTCCGCCCCACTTTCTCCCCCCGTTCCCTTCCTCCTGTCCCCCAACCGCCTCTCCCCCTCTCACCCAGCCTCTGATTGGCCATTGGAGCGACAGCTGTCGCTGCCCGTATGGCCAGCGCCGCCCGTTTATCGTTGTAGGCGCTGCTCTGGTGGCGGTGGCGGCGATGCTGATAGCGTTCTCGAGGGACGGAAGCCAGTCCCTACCAGGGAGCTCACTCCCTCAGGGTGGGGGGCTATATATATGCATCCCCTATCATATTCCGCCTTCCTTTCCTCTCGCCAACTCTCCCCCTCTCCCCTTCTCCCCCTCTCCCCCTCACCCAGCCTTTGATTGGTCATTGGAGCGACAGCTGTCGCTGCCCGTATGGCCGGCGCCGCCCGTTCATCGTGGCGGGGGCGGCTCTGGTGGCGGTGGCGGCGATGCTGATTGCATTCTCGAGGGACTTGGGGCATATGTTGGGGGATGGGAGGGTGGAGGAAGGGAGGCCGCTGGTGGGAGCGATTGTCGTTTTCATTCTGGGGTTCTGGTGAGTGGGAGAAGCCTTTTTGAGCCAGTAAGTGCAAGAAACCAATGTGCGCTGCTCTGTTCTGGTGGCGGTGGCGGCGATGCTGATAGCGTTCTCGAATGGTTTGGGGGATGTGGTGGGGTGCGGTGTGGTTGGATGCGATGGGATGGGTTGTGCACTGCTCTGCTCTGGTGGCGGCGATGCTGATAGCATTCTCGAGGGATTTGGAGCACGCGTTGGGGGATGGGATGCGAGGGTGGAGCCAGGACTGGTTTTTGAGAATTCTCAAAAACCAGCTCGTTGGGGGATGGGATGCGAGGGTGGAGCCAGGGCTGTTCTGGTGGCGGCGATGCTGATTGCGTTCGGGACTTGGGACACGCGTTGGGGGATGCGATGCGAGGGTGGAAAAGGGCGGCCGCTGGTGGGAGCTATTGTTGTGTTCATCCTTGGCTTCTCGTGAGTGGGAGAGGGGTGAGGTTTATTCTTTCATGCCACTGCTTCTGGGGATGTTTTGCTCGGCTCTGGTGGCGGTGGCTGCGATGCTGATATCATTCTCGAGGGACTTAGGGCACGCGTGGGGAGATTCGAGGGTGGAAGCAAGTTGGCCACTGGTGGGACCGATTGTTGTTTTCATTCTGGGATTTTGGTGAGTAAGAACCACCAGAAACTTGTGTTCAGATTCTTGGCATCTCCACCAATAACCTGCTTCTCTGTCTACCTGTTGTTTTTGAAGTCCCTTTTTCCTCCTCACTCCTCTCCACCCATCGTCACCCCTTTCTTCTCTCAGGCTGCTTGACCTGGCCAACAACAGCCTAATACAGGGACCGTATAGAGCTTTGCTGGCCGAAAATGCTGCTTCTTTTCTTTGCTTCCCTTGGTTGATTTTCCCTTGGTGTGTGTCTGCTCTCATTGTCGCCCCTTCTCTCAGGCTGCTTGACCTGGCCAACAACAGCCTACAGGGACCGTGTCGAGCTCTGCTGGCCGATTTTACTGGTGAGTGCTGCTGAGCTTGTAGACAGACAGAAAAAGGGCTAATAGTGTTGCTTTCAATACACAGGTTTTTCTAAGCCTGCCTATTCTCTGAACAACTTGCCAACAACTCCGAATCTGCAGCCAGGCAATGTCTCCCACCACCGATAAGTGGTGTTCCTTGAGTACTGCTGAGCTCGTAGAGGGGCAAAAAAGCGCTAAGATTGTAGCTTGTTGACATGTCCCTGTGGGGCCAGAGCCTAGGCTCTTCCTGTCTCTCTGCGTTCATGGAATTGGCATTTTCTACTGCTGTTGTTTTCCTTTGCTTAAGCCTACTGCACGCACGCAGCTCACTGAGCTATGTCTGGATCTAGAGCCTAGGCTCTTCCTGTCTCTCTGCGTTCATGGAATTGCTCTTGGAGATTCGCTTGGCTTGTCTACTTCCAACTCCCACTTGCACTTTCGTTCTTCCTCTTTATCCTTCTTTTGAATATCCGCTTTACAGGCACAGAAGGCAAGCGCACTCGTAGAGCAAATTTGTACTTCTCAGCGTTCATCGCTCTTGGCAACGTGCTTGGCTGTGCTGCTGGCTCCTACCCCCACCTCCTTTCTTCCCGTCTTTCCATGCATCTTCCTTAAAAAATAACCTCCTTTGCAGGCACAGAAGGCAAGCGCACTCGCAGAGCGAATGCATACTTTTCTGCTTTCATGGCTTTGGGCAACGTGCTCGGCTTTGCAGCTGGCTCCTACCCGCACCTCGCCTCCGCCCTCTCCGCTCCTCTCTCACTCCTCCTCCGCCCGTTCGGGGGGTTCTCGCTGGTAACCGCCGCGTGTAACGGCGTGTGTGCGAATCTCAAGGCTGCGTTCATGCTGCATGTGGTGCTGCTGCTGGTGTCAACCGTTGTTAGCGTGTCGGCTGCTTCTGAGGTGCCACTCTCTGATCCTTTTGCTGTTGATAGTGAAGCTTCTTGTGCTGCTGCTGGTGCTGATAGTAGTGCTGCTGGTGGTGCTGCTGCTGGCGGTGCTGGTGCTTCCAGTGCTGCTGCTGCGGCCGGTGCTGCTGGTGGTGATAGCACTGCTTTTGTTGTTCCCCGGGCCGACACTGCGGCGATTGCTGCTATCAGGGAGGCTTTTAGCGAGGATAGCGCTATGAGGCAGCCGCTTTTACCTTGTGGCACCCATCACGCGCCCTCTGCTGCACCTGCTGCAGCTCTTGCTGCTGCTGCTGCTGCTGTTGCTGTTCATGCTCCGGTTACTGTTCAGGTTCCCATTACCATAAGTAGCAGCAGCAGCAACAACAGCAGTAGGAGCAGCATCAGTGGCAGTGGCACAAGCGGGGTATTCAGCTCTGGTGGGGTGTGGCCTGTGGATGACTCGTTAGAAGGCCTCTTTCCTGCTGACTCGTTACAAGCAGATCCTGCTGATGCGGACATAGGAGAGGGGAGAAGGGAAAGCAGTGAGGGGATGAGTGAGTTGGTTCTGGTTGGGGGGGCTGAGGGAGGGGGGAGGAAGTGTGGAAGGGAGAGTGGGAGGGAGAGTGGAAGGGAGAGTGGGAGGGAGTGTGGTGGGAGCAGGGAAAGTGGGCTTGGTGGGAGCGAGATAGAGGAGATGGGAGGAGGCGAGACGGGACACAAGAGAGGAGCGAATGGGTCAAGGACAGTTGAGGCAGAGAAAGGCGGGACGAGGCAATTGGAACAGCAGAAGGAAGACGAAACAGAGGATGGGGAGGGGGAGGGGGAGGAGGAGGAGGAGGAAGAGGGAGAGGAGGAGCCGAAGCAGGTGCTGTTATGGGAGCTGGTCAGTTCAGTGCAGCAGCTGCCTCCCCCCGTGCTGCGCGTGCTGGCAGTCACGGCCCTAACCTGGCTCGCATGGTTCCCTTTTCTGCTCTTTGATACGGATTGGATGGGCAGGGAGGTTTTCGGAGGCTCGAGTAACCCTAGGGAATCTGGACTAGCAGTGGCTAGGGCAGCAGCAGCTAATGCTGCTGCTATTGGTACAGAAGCTAGTGCTGCTGCTTCTTCTTCTTTAGCAGCTAGTTTTGCAGCCAGCGATGTAGCTAGTGCTAGTAGCGAGGCGGCTCTTAAGGCGTACAGCAGGGGAGTGAGGTTCGGAGCGCTAGGTCTGGTGCTGAACTCGGTGGTGCAGGGAGCGACGAGCCTCAGGATCGACGCTCTGTGCCGGAGGTTCGGGTCTAGGACCGTGTGGGCCGTGGGGAATCTGGTGCTCGCTGTTTGCCTTCTAGCCACTGCTGCTGTGCCCTCTGCTGCTCCTGTTGTGCCTCAAATCCGGCTAGCCACTGCTGCTGTGCCCTCTGCTGCTTCTGCCAGTGGCCCCACTGCTACTGCTACTGTGTCTCATTTCCGCCAGCCAAATGCTACTCTGTTGGCCCCTTCTGGTTCGTTTCAGTTCCCGATGGTCGCCGAAGCCTGGCAGAAGAACCCTCTTGCTGCAGCTGCTGCTGCTGCTGCTGCTGGTACTGGTGGTGCTGGTGCTGCTGGTGGTGCAGCTGGAGTTGTGTCTCATTTCAGCCAGCCAAATCCCCCGATGGTCGCCGCAGCCTGGCAGACGAGCCCTCTTGCTGCAGCAGGACATGCGGGGGTGCTGCGGCGGCATGGGGAAGGGGCAAAACGAGGAGGAGGAATAGAGGGAGAAGTGGAAGATCCGGAGCAGCTGCAGCAGCAGCAGAAGCAGCAGCAGAAGCAAGGGCCTCGGAACCTATTAGGCGCACGGAAACTCGGGATACTTGAGTCGCAGGCTATGGCATCACGCCAACACTCCCTGCTGCCACTGCCGCTGCCGCTCTCAGTGCTGTCAGGTCTGACAACAAGGGCCTTCAGCTCCCTTTCACGCATGCCAAAGGCCACAGTGGCCAAGGCAGCTGCGCTCACCATCTTTGCTGTTCTCGGCGCTCCCATGGCGGTAAGCATAACAAGCAAGCATGCCACACATGCCACGCACATTAGGAGGGAGTGTTGCGCGTGTCAAGGGCTTCACGCATACCAAAGGCCACAGTGGCCAAGGCAGCTGCACTCACCATCTTTGCTGTGCTTGGCGCTCCCATGGCGGTGAGTGGTAGAGTTGCGTCATGTCTTGTTCTGGGAATGTGTTTTTGACATGTCTCGAAAATCAAGGCAGCTGCACTCACCATCTTTGCTGTGCTTGGCGCTCCCATGGCGGTGAGTGGTAGAGTTGTGTCATGCCTTGTTCTGGGAATGTGTTTTTGACATGTCTCGAAAATCAAGGCAGCTGCACTCACCATCTTTGCTGTGCTTGGCGCTCCCATGGCGGTGAGTGGTAGAGTTGTGTCATGCCTTGTTCTGGGAATGTGTTTTTGACATGTCTCGAAAATCAAGGCAGCTGCACTCACCATCTTTGCTGTGCTTGGCGCTCCCATGGCGGTGAGTGGTAGAGTTGTGTCATGCCTTGTTCTGGGAATGTGTTTTGTCGAAAATCAAGGCAGCTGCACTCACCATCTTTGCTGTGCTTGGCGCTCCCATGGCGGTGAGTGGTAGAGTTGTGTCATGCCTTGGTCTGGGAATGTGTTTTTGACATGTCTCGAAAATCAAGGCAGCTGCACTCACCATCTTTGCTGTGCTTGGCGCTCCCATGGCGGTGAGTGGTAGACTTGTGTCATGCCTTGTTCTGGGAATGTGTTTTTGACATGTCTTGAAAATCAAGGCAGCTGCACTCACCATCTTTGCTGTTCTCGGCGCTCCCATGGCGGTGAGTCACCCATGCCATGCCATGGCGGTGAGTCACCCATGCCATGCCATGGCGGTGAGTCACCCATGTCATGCCATGGCGGTGAGTCACCCATGTCATGCCCGTACACATTCCACACATGCCGCAAATGTCATGCACGAGTCAGTCAATTGTGGCCAAGGCAGCTGCGCTCACCTTCTTTGCTGTGCTTGGGGCGCTCCCATGGCGGTGAGTCAGAAGAGTGTTATTCTCCCTCACTATTGAGCCGACTCAAAAGTCACCTGTGCTTGGCGCTCCTATGGCGGTGAGTCAGAAGAGTGTTATTCTCCTTCACTGCGTTCTTTACCACTAGAGGGTGCGGAGGGCAGGGCTTGCTATGTGAACTGCAATAAACTGTCACCTTCACGCCTGATCTCCAACCGCACCTTCCCCCACCCAGGTGTGTTTTGAGACGACTCGAAACACACTTTTGAGACGACTCAAAACACACTTTTGAGTCGACTCAAAACACACTTTTGAGACGACTCAGAACACACCTGGGTGCGGAGGGCAGGGCTTGCCATGTGAACTGCAATAAACTGTCGCCTTCACGCCTGATCTCCAACCGAACCTTCCCCCACCCATCCGTCCCCCCAAGTGACCTACAGCCTCCCCTTCTCCCTCACAGCGTCCTTCACCACCAGAGGGAGCGGAGGAGGGCAGGGTCTGGTATGTGACCCACCATCAAAGCTGCATGGAGTTTCAAATCCACCCATCATCTCCCCTCACCACCCCCAGGTGACCTACAGCCTCCCCTTCTCCCTCACAGCGTCCTTCACCACCAGAGGGAGCGGAGGAGGGCAGGGTCTGGTATGTGACCCACCATCAAAGCTGCATGGAGTTTCAAATCCACCCATCATCTCCCCTCACCACCCCCAGGTGACCTACAGCCTCCCATTCTCCCTCACAGCGTCCTTCACCACCAGGGGGGGTGGTGGGCAGGGGCTGTCATGTGACCCGCGATAGCTGTTGCCTTGATGCCTTATTCCCCACCCACCACTCACCATGCCTCATGCCCCACCCACCACAATCCCCCAGGTGACCTACAGCCTCCCATTCTCCCTCACAGCGTCCTTCACCACCAGAGGGGGTCGTGGGCAGGGGCTGTCATGTGACCCGCGATAGCTGTTGCCTTGATGCCTTATTCCCCACCCACCACTCACCATGCCTCATGCCCCACCCACCACAATCCCCCAGGTGACCTACAGCCTCCCCTTCTCCCTCACAGCGTCCTTCACCACCAGAGGGGGCGGAGGGCAGGGCCTGGCAGCTGGTCTGCTCAACATCGCCATAGTCCTTCCTCAGGTGAATTTTCAGGGGGGGGGGGGTAGTGCGCCTCAGGTGAATCGCTACGAGGTTATATTGTGGTGAATTTCTAGGTCTCAGCTATGTGCTCAAAACCATAGTGATTGGGCCGGAAGTAACTTCAAATTTCCATCTACCACCCTTATGTCCGAACCTGTCCGACCCTGTCCGAACCTGTCCGACCCTGTCCGACCCTGTCCAAGCCTGTTCGATTTTGTCTGCCCTTCTATCCGTCTCTGGTCTGCCCCTCTGTGCCACTCTGGTCTGCCCCTATGTGCCACTCCCCCATATGTTAGCTGCTTCCACTTTCGACCACTGCCACTGCCACTCCCACTGCCACTCCCTGCCCAACCCTGTCTGTCCCGCTGTGCTATCCCCTTGCTCCTCTGTGCCTCTTGCACTCAGATGTTTGTGTCATTGGTCATCGGTCCATTTGATGCATTCTTCGGCGGGGGCAACATCCCTGGCTTCATGGCAGCGGCTGCCTTTGCTGCTGCTGCCACTTTCTCCCAACCCTTCCACTGCCACCCCACCAACCCAACCGTGTCTGTCCCCCTGTGCTGCCCCTTTGCCTCCCTGTGCCACTGTCTCTCAGATGTTTGTGTCATTGGTCATCGGTCCATTTGATGCGTTCTTCGGCGGGGGCAACATCCCTGGCTGCATGGCAGCGGCTGCCTTTGCTGCTGCTGCCACTTTCTCCCAACCCTTCCACTGCCACCCCACCAACCCAACCGTGTCTGTCCCCCTGTGCTGCCCCTTTGCCCCCCTGTGCCACTGTCTCTCAGATGTTTGTGTCATTGGTCATCGGCCCCTTTGATGCATTCTTCGGTGGGGACAACATTCCTGGCTGCATGGCAGCAGCTGCCTTCGCTGCAACTGCCTCTCCTCCCAATCTGGCCCTTACTGACATCCCATCTGTGCCATACCCCTACCCGCGCAGATGTTTTGTGTCGCTAGTCATCGGTCCCTTTGATGCATTCTTCGGATTCCCTGCTGACATGCCCCGCGCCACCCCCCTGCCTGCCTGTACGCCACCCTCTCAGATGTTTGTATCACTAGTCATCGGTCCCTTTGACGCGTTCTTCGGTGGGGGCAACATTCCTGGCTTCATGGCAGCCGCTGCCTTTGCTGCTGCTGCGGCAGCTGCTGCGTTCTTCACTCTCCCCCGCCCTCCTCCCGACACGCCTCCCCCTCTCAGACCCTCTGCCTCACGCGCTAGTCTTTCTGCTACCTCGATCCCTCATTGGGTGTCTCCTCCCTCTGCCTCTGCGCCACGCCATAGCCTTTCTCCCTCTGCCTCTGCACCACGCCATAGCCTTTCTAACCCCTTTCGCATGCCACCTCTCCATACCTCTGCAGCACGACCCGATCCTGTGTCTCCCCTCTCCCTACCCACTTGTGTCTCTCCTATTCCACCTTCGGGCATCAAGGATTCTTGTAGCAGGAGCCAATAGAGGAGCCTTTTTATCACTAGTGATGGATTTTCATCTGTTAGATTGGTTGACTGCTTGGTACTTGCTGTCACGGTAAATATGCTGACAATTACACATTACCTCCATCACATTTGGCACGTACACCAAACTTTTCTACTAGGTTTACCCAAACGCCCGGAAAGAAAATAAATCCATAAAAAATCCACATAATGTACAGTATGTAATTACATACTACGGAGATACAAGAAAGGGGATTTCGACACGAGTCAACAATCAGGAAGCTGCCACCGAGCTGCCGTATGTGTAAACATGACGTCAGGTGTCAGCCATCTCACTAGGTGCGAGACACCTCAGCCAGTCGTACAGTTACTGCCAGGACGCCACCGTCCAATCAGCCGTTTCGCAGCTGTCGTCGCAGTCGTCTGGAACCGCGAATGTGTTTCTTCGCCCTGCACATAGTGGACATTGTGGACCTGCGCGGTTCGGAGAATCTCAATGTCGTGCACCACGCAAGCCGCATTCCACCCACACAGAATTGGCGGGACTATTATTTTTGTTTCACAGCCTATATTTTAAGGTTCTCCATGCTGCCCTGAGCTAAGCATTGTTTTTCCATAATATTTCATCCATACTGCTGTTCCATAACCCTGCAAGTTCGAGACTGGTTCTGCCGGTTATGAGTCTCAGAAACTTAGCTGTTCTGGGGCTCTTCAATGGATCAGGAGATGATAGGAGTCTACACTGCTTTCGGTTCCCACTGGGACTCGATGTCCCTGAACAATAGGCTAGAGACTGCGAACAGTCTCTCAAAAGAAGTTATACAGAGAAAAACAACTTGGCAATTCCCCCAACCAGTGATAGCTCATCCGTGCATCCCACTTGCAAATCGAAATCGATGCTGTTGTTGTGGTGTGTCTTTCCTCGCTGCCGTGATGTTTCCCTTGGAGGCATGCCAACAAACATCACACCTTCCGTACCTTGCTGGAGCGACTCGATCGCGCGGCTCCTCGCCGCTTAGCAGGCACGTGGGTCCTGGCGAATGGAAATGCCGCCAACGACAGCGATTGATGGTGGCAAAAAATCAACTGTGGCTTCCTCAAGCCTACCTTTCGCGAGTCGAGTTAGCACCCTCCTCATATGCCTACTATATATCCGGTAAAACCTCTCCACGATATCATCGTAACAGCAGCACCTGATTAATCCCTTTAGAGACTACGGAGCCGCACAACTCCGAACTACGACTTAACATTCCTGTTTCGAGTTTGACTGGTTTCGACTGTTGCCTCGTAATAGCCAATTGTTGGTGACGTCCACTCCGAGAAGCGCCGATGGCACCCCTCCTCGGTAGATGTACTAGGAATGGTTCAGCATCGCTCGCATCCCCGATAGTAGCTCTCTTCGTTCTCGTTGCAAGCATTCTGTGCATCCCGAGCCACGCCGCGCGAATCAAGCCCGCTCAGGAGAAGTTCCTGCTCTCCTTGATGCCGTACCTTAACGAGTACATCTATAACGAGACGTGGCGCGCGGGGACGGATTGCAGCAAATGGGAAGGCGTCAAATGCACCCCGCAAGGCGCGGTTGTGAGGATCGAGCTCAACCTCTGGGAAACGGGGCCCATTCCGCGGACCATCACCATTCTCAACTCCCTCCAACACCTGGAAATCTCCGGGATGAACCTCACGGGCTCCCTTCCGGAGTCAGTCGGCGCGCTTCTGACCCTCACGAACATCAGGATCAGCAGCAGCACGGGGGGATGCAGCGGCCGCATTCCACGCTCCCTCCCTTCCCTCACGAACCTCGTGTCGCTTGATCTCTTTGGTCATAGGTTTTCCGGAGGCATCCCACCCGCGCTTAGCAGCCTTAAGCGTCTTACTTACCTCTCGCTTGCCCTAAACCAGCTCACCGGCCCGATTCCCGCCGCGCTCGGATCCCTTCTGAACTTAAAGACGCTTCTCCTCGCGCATAATCGCTTAACGGGAGCCGTGCCGCGCCAGCTGTCGGGATTGCGGCTCCTCGAGGAGTTGAATCTGCAGGAGAACCGATTAATAGGTCCTCTACCTGGCAGGCTGACCGCTCTCGCTCCGTCTCTCAAGATCCTCGACCTTTCGTACAATCCCATTGGCGGCGCTTTCCCGTACAAGTTAATCAACAGGCTGTCGCGGCTCGAGGGACTGAATATGCAGCAATCGGGGATTAAAGACTCGACTCTGTCGCTGGGTCAACTGTGGCGGCACCCGAGCCTTCGTTCCCTCGATCTGAGCTTCAATAAATTTTCAGGAAACCTGCCCCCCGTTCTGGGCAGGATAAAAAATCTCAACAAGCTTTACCTCATGAAGAACCGGCTCAACGGCTCTGTTTCGTGGAAGTTTTTCGCATACAAACCGCCCCTGACCGATCTTTCTCTCTCGTACAACCAGTTGACTGGGGAATTTCCGTGGACTGCCGTGAAAGCGGGAGTTGCGGGGACTCTGGTGCATCTGGACATTGCCAGCAACTCGTTCGTGGGTTCAATTCCTGCTGCTGCGCTCTCCAACATTCCCCTGACGGATTTCAACATCTCCGAGAATTACTTTTCCGGGAAGCTGCCCAAGCTGGGGAAGGGTGATGGGGACATGATGTTTGATCTCCAGTATAACTACTTCTGGGGTGACCCGATGCTTACGATTTCCGGACAAAAACTCTGCCCGGAGGAGTCTGGCCTGAGGCAGGGGTTCGGGGACGACGAGATTCTGCGAGCTGTGCAAAACTGCCTGTCGAAAACGGCTAGCTGCCCTGAAAAACAGCAGCAAAGCCGGGCAGCTTGTGAGAATTTTTGCGGAGCAAGCAGCAGCAGCCCACCCTGCTCAGGTTACGGAACCTGTGTGCCAGCAAATAGTGCCGGCAGCTCTGTACAGTTTGAGTGTCGCTGCTATAAGGGGTACAAGCTGAAGGCAGGAAGCAAGCATGAGTGCGAGAGGGATGGCTGATGTAAGAGTGTCCCATAAAGCACTCCCTGTCCATGGAATGAAAGTATGTCCCTGACAGTAGCACTCCCACTCCCTTTCAACTCTGCTGATAAACAGTGGCAGGTGTCAAGGCGGAACATGCAAACTTAGCTGAATAAGCCAAAGTGGGGCCACAGGCGATTTCAGAAAACCTGGGTGGGAGTTGAAGGTGCTGTAAGCTTGTGAGCCTTCAGGGGCTGAAGCCTCAATTGGATGTGAGCAATCCTGGGAGCTTGTGTGAGCCGTATGGAGAATGGAAGAAAACAGTGAGCCTCAATGGGATTTTAGGGGAGCTTGTAACATCTCACAGTACACTTACTCTCCCAGGGCCTCAATCTGACTTGTAACGCTTGATGTAATGGGTGTCTATGCTTGATACCAGTCGGCTGTTTTACGTCTGCACCTTGGTTCCACAAACTCATTGGCACTTACCGTTTATTGGGATATCACTCGCATTTGTTGGAACTTGAAAGTGTGTGCATTCCATACTGTAGTTAAAATATTAAATACTGAAGGCGAGAAATGAAGTGTATTTTCACATACTGATATATATGGTAGATTTTCCTTTCCCATTCTTGTGTTTGGACTCAAATGTTAAATGTGGAATACAGATTTTATGAAGATAAATATTTGGACACGTACAAATCTGGTGCAATATTGCGATTCAAGCTCAGTCAATTCTCAGGAGGAAGGTCCGCTCGAGGTGTGAGAAGTAATTGGTTTACGACACTTGTCAGCCATTCATCTAGTTGAACAGTTACCGCCACCGTCCAATCGGCAATTTCGCATCTGTCGCCCCAGTCCTCTGAAGCTGTGGATGTGCTCCTTCACTCTCCACAAAGCGCACAATGTGCGACTGTGCGGTTCGACGAAGCTCAATGCCGTGCAATGCAACAGTCAAGCCGCATTTCACCAGCGCAGAGAAATCGAGCCGCACTCTGCTGCTCAAACCTGGTAAGGTATTGTTTGGGGGTCTTTCAGGCTGCCCGAGGGCTACAGTGGACAGGATCACTATGCGGGATAAGAAGTCGCTGAAAGAAAAGAAATCATTTATCTCTACATTTTACCAGCCTGGCTGCGGTGCATTTACTTCGATGCATCACAATGTAGCCTATCAAACCTTCGTTTGAATTGAACCTTCTCATAAGGACGAAGGGTCGAGAAATTGGAACGGACCGTCGAAAATCGTTGCTCTCTTTTTGACACTTGTCACTCACTTCAATGCCAGCGAGAACTCATCCTTTCTTCTTGGTTGAAGATTGAAGTGCAATGCTGCTGAGCTGAGCTTTCTTGCTGTTGTGTTGATTCTTTCGAGCCTAGGGCATCACAACACCTCATCCATGACTTGCTGGCGCGACTCGCTCGCGCGGCTCCCGCCGCTTAGCAGGCGCGTTACGTTGGGAAAGGGAAATGCCGCCAAGGACAGCCAATGGTGGTGGCAAGGAAGGAACTGCTGCTGTGTGCGTATCGCGATTGTCCAGTTAGCACCCGCCTCGTGTGCTTGCTATATAAGAATGGATCACGTTCCCTTACCACCAAAACATCATTAACAGCGAAGACGGAAAGACTACAGACAGACACTTCTACCCCTGCTTCGTCACGGACTGATTTTAAGCTCTATGTTAGCTCGAAGTAGCCAAATTCCATTTCCCGAAGCATCCATGGCGTCCCGTCCCAACAAACCTCCGAGGAGATCAGCCCCGCTCACATCCCCGATAATATCTCTACCTCTACTTGCTATAAGCCTTCTCTGCATCTCAAGCCGCGCCGCAAAAATCAACTCCGCCCAGGCGAAGTTCCTCCTCTCTTTGATGCCGTATCTTGACGGCTACTATTACAAGGACACGTGGCGCACGGAAAAAGACTGCAGCCAATGGGAAGGCGTCACATGTACGCCCCAAGGCGCGGTCGTTAAAATCGAGCTGAACTTCTGGGAAACGGGGCCGATTCCGCCGACCATCACCGCTCTCAACTCCCTCAAACACCTAGAAATCTCTGGGATGAATATCACAGGCTCACTGCCGGTATCGCTCGGCG